TTGTGTAGTTGGCGAGTTTTAATACTAATTAAAATAAGTGCAGCTTTTCTGCTTTTGATGGCATTTCAAAATAATTATGGGATGTGATAGAGAGGCAAATACTGCGCCAGGTTTGCTAAGGTGAGATGGTTTTGGCCAGAAAGACAGAGAGACAGACAGAGAGACTTTTCTATATGGCATTTACTTTATTTTATTAAAAAGGTCTTCTTCAATGCTTTACACTTTTTTTGACAACATTCTTTGTCAGACTATTAAATTCGTTTTTTTCTCTAGACATCTTTGCCCAGCTTCTTGCCCAAGCTTAACGAGCTCCTCCTCTTCCATTCAAATTGAACTGCCATGAAATTGATAGGGTATTCAATTGTTAGCAAGTCCTTTTTCTGTTTGATTTGTTATTGCAAATGCCCTGCAAATAGAGCATTGCCCAGCTGTTTGTTTTCTGCTTCTAATTTGTTATCTGTGGCCATGCAGCGGCATTCTGTTAGTAGATTAAATCGGATTTATATAAATGTTCGAAAATAAATTAAAATATGAAGTGAGGGCTGCATGTGAATGTTGATAAAATGTGTGTACTGGAGCTTTGACTGGGGCTTGGGTTGGTAATTGGTCTCGGACTGGGGCTAGGGTAGGGGCTCGGGCTGAGGCTTGGATTGGAGCTTGCTTGGCAATTCAATCACATAATGGCGCACTCAAAATTATTCGCCTTTTTTTTCTGAAATTTGCAGTTCAAGTTTTGTGCCAGCCATGGCCATTATGCAAATGCTGTTGCTGCCTTTGTTGTTGCTGCTGTTGTTGTTGCTGCTGTTGTTGTTGCTGCCTCTGACAGCATGGAACTTAATCAGCATGCATCGAATTTGATGCAAAGTGCGGACAAACGAACGCTGCTTCCGTGTGTGTGTGTGTGTGTGTTTGCAGGTCAACAGCAGCTGCTGGCTGAGAGGCAGCCTATGCAAGCAAGACCTCATTTGAATTGCATTTGCCTGTGCACAATGCGAAAAGTGTGCGCTTATCAGACAGCGGCCAGATGAATGTTGACATTGTACGTCCGTCTATCCGTCCGTGCGATTGCCCGTTGTCCGGCTGTCTGTGTGAATAGCATAATGGCCGAGTATTTTCCAGCACGTCCGCCCGCCTGTCCGTCTGCCTGTCCGTCTGTTTGCTTGCAACTAAGTGCATTTTGCTCTGATTAGCAAAATGCGCCTGTTGCAGGCTGCATTAAGTGGCATCAGCTGGCATCGGCTGGCATTAAGATGCAACCGATTGAACTGAATGGGGATAAATCCTGCATTATTCAACGACCTGGGCCTGGGCATTGCAAATGAGTTGGCCGAGAGCCAAGCACACTACATCTAGGTGTCAGTTCCATGCCCAATGCCCAAAATTCAATATACAAGAACCGGGCAGCCCATGCCCCAAAAAACCAAAACAGCTATGCTTTAGAGCGCATGAGCTGGCCCACATGAGCGCCATGGGCGAGCTTGTGCTGCGCCAGAGTTGGGCGCGTGTCGTGCCTTTAATTTCTATAGGGACACGAGCGAGCACGAAATGTTGTTTGAAAGTTCAGCTAAAGTAAAGGATATTAAGAGAAAGACTGTTATCGAAAGCAAGAAAAATCTTTCAAACATGTTATCGAAAAATCGAACTTGTTATCGAAAGCAAGCGACACGCGCTCATCTCTAGTCGATTCACTCAATTTGTCTGCCAGCAATTTAAGAGCAGAATCATGTACTAGTTGCCCGCCTCCCGCCGCCTCCCGCCGCCCCCCGCAAGCTGCCCCACTGGCCAACTTCCACCAAACTTGGCCCAAAATAATTGCTCGACATTCGAATCAGATTTTAACGAAGCGCATCGAATCCCAATCCAATTGGAAATGTGATACAGAACACAAAACTCGTTATGCCATTGAAATTTCCATTTGCCATTGTCTGGCATTTTATTATTATTATGGACTTATCGCATTTGCATGAGTTTTGCGGGGAAAATTGTGTTCATTAAATGCACAAAATGTTATGCATAGATTTGTAGCTGAATGCAGATTAATGCAATTTTCGACTAAACACACATTTAAATTGAAATATTGTGTGGCCAAAGTTAATTTCAATGTTAAACAAACCGCAACTCATAGGCAAACGAGTAAAAGCCCAGCCACAACAACAACGACAACAACAACAACTAGTTGGCAACAGCAGATGGCCAACGACATTTCAACTTTAAACGAACCGGAAATGCGAGCCCACAACGGCATCATTAATCATGACTAGCAACAGCAACCAGCTCATAAAGGACTCTAACTTCCGCTCCAGCCGCTTGCCCCTTGCCTGCAAGCATTGGCCGTGTCCATGTCCAATTCGCTTTCGGTTTCAGTTACAATGTTGACTTTACTTAACGGGCGGCCAACGTTCTTGTTCTTTCAGTTTTTCACTTTTGTGTTTTTTTATTCCCCCCTTTTTTTTCATACTCTAAGATTAGCTGCAGCCTTTAAATACGTTTAGAGTAAAACGTTTTTCTGTTTAGAATTTAAAGTGTCAAAAGTAGAACATGACTTTTTGTTTTTAAATATTTTTCAATAAGTAGGAATAGTTTTTGATTTCTAATTGAATATTTCATAAGTAACCTTTAGGCTTCAGACAAGTATATAATATTTTTTCTCAAGATTTGCGAAATATGAGAACAAAATTCATATATTTCTCTATACGCATTAAACTTTTTTCAATGATTTTTGAATTGATAATTTTACTCGAAGTTTAAGAAAATTCAGAACAAAGTAATTTTGTTGTTTTCTATAATTTTCTAGATGCTTGTTTTCCTATGATTTTGCAATTATTAATTTTATTCGTAGCTTAAGAAATTTAAGAGCCAAGTTCTTGTTTCTTCTCTGCTTTTTCATATTAAGTATACGCTCCGTGGTTTTTTTTTTTATTTAATAATTATTTTATGCGATGCTTGAGAATTTTTGGAACACAATTCATGCTTTTTATTCCCACTTCTTTATTAAGTATACGCTCTGTGCCCGTTTTTACTATTATTTCTAATATTAAGTATACGCTGCATATTCCAAATACACGCCTATTTCGCAGTTGCTCTAGATTAGCAAATTGGGCTTTATTTATTTAGGGTCCACGAATACGATATAATATTGCTGCAATTAGTTTTTCCTCTTTCTATCGCTAGGCAGACAATTTGGCGATACCAGGGCAGAGCGATATCTTGGCCAGCTGAACGATGCTCAAATTTAATTACAATTTGGCCAACTTATTTACAATATCCACAGTTTTGTTTACAATCTCTTTGGCAAATGAAGCCAAACAAAGGGTAACTGAAGGGTAACTCGGATTCGTTTAGCCTTAACCCTCTGGCACTAACTTTTCGTGCTTATGTTTTTTCTCTTTGTGCAGCGTATTAAATTTTAATGCCGCACGAAAGGACTAGGTCGTCTACCTAGCGACCAGTCCAGTCCAATTCGGTTAATAGCATTTTCTGTGACTTTTTACTGCCGAAAAACCGAAACAGAAAGTTGACCCAAACTTTAGTGCGGCCTGACACTGGCCAACAAAATTTACGCTATGCGCCAAAAGCCAAAAAGTGTTTTTGTTTTATTTTTTTGGTCGCGTGGCAAGTTAATTGGATGTTGCATGTGCAGCATAAACTGACAACAGTTGCGGGCACAAAATAGCTGTTGCACTCAGGCACTAAACTAATATGGTTAGGGTGTGCGTGTGTGTGGGTGTGCGTGTGTGTGTGTGTCGCTCAAGTTGTTGCTTTCAGTTAGCATATGCTGCACAACAAGTGCGTTGGCAAGGGCGACATATTTGTTTTAGCTCTTACTGCAGTTGTTGTCGTTGTCGTTGTTGTTGTTGTTGTTGTTGTCGCTTGCTGCTGCCTGAGCTGTCGAGTGCTGCTTCACGTGACCAACAATTAAATAGCAAAGTGCAAAAATTTGTGGCTTCAGTTGGAAAGCGACTCGCCTGCAATTCAACTGCCCAGCTCTTTGAGTGCGACTGTGGCAAGTTGCATAATGAACTGGAGTAGCTATTAAATAGCTCTTTTACATAGTTTTGCATTTTTATTATATTTGTTGCACATTTTCTATATGTCTGTTTCTTAGTCTAAGGCTTATTCACCTGAGGCTACAGTTTGAAGGCATTCTGCATAAATTGTGTTGCCTGCTTTCTTATACATCTTACTTGGCCTCTGCTTGGTTTTTGATTAATTAATAAGCTGGTGTATAGTTGATTAGTGTCTCAAAATGCAATAATCTATTATATAAGCTTCCTTTTGTAATTATAATCCTAATTCTTCCAGCACTAACTTAAATAGTTTCCGGCTGTAGCCAAAAGCGAACTGCAAAAATATTATTGCATACTTTCAACCAGAACTCAAAGCAGCTCGCAATAAATTGTGGTGCATACTTTCAGGCGGCGCAATATAGCTTCGCTGTGCCTGGTACAATCCTGCTCAAAGGGCAACTAAGATAACTAGCTGCAGCAAGTCTTGCCGCCTGCTTCAGGAATTGTTTGCTCTGCCACAGACTTGGCCAATAATTATCAGTTTATGGCCTCATCAAAGTCAGTTCAGTTCTTGTTATTATTATTGCTTATCGCTTTGTAGTCGCTCGCTGGTGGAAATCAATCACAGTGGGGCAACACGCCTGCTCGTGACAACAAAGCTCAAGTGGCCGCAGGGCATTGTTAACAAGCTTAACAGCTATAAATGCGATCACTTACAGCTCGTAATCAATGACTAACAAGCAGCAGCAGCAGCAGCAGCAGCAGCAACAACAACAAAATCCGTCTAAAAAGTTTGGCTTATAGTCTTTTGGCCAACAGTCTATGCGGCAAGTTGTTAGCCCGAAGCTCATAAAAATAAAAGTTTTGCCATTAGTTGTCCAACAGCTGCGCATAACTGTTCCCCGCCTCCAATCATATTTTCTCTGCGCCTGATGCTTCCTTTCAGCCCGCCTCACCCTTCAAATGAAACTCAAGCAGCGCCATTGTATATAGAAAAAAGATGCCTATTGTATTATAGTCCATATTGATTGATGTCCGGCCATTCAGTTCTGTCGCTGGGACAGCAGACCCTTGACCAGGTTGACCAGCAGCTCCAGACCCTCCTGATTGTTAGTTTTATAATAGGGCAACGCCTGCATTTGGCTTAGCCATTGTGTTAGCTTTGGATACTTTTCGGCATCGATGGGCGCAAATGCTGCTGCCGTGGACACCGTTGCCACGCTGCATAAATCCGCAATGGTCAGCTTGTCGCCGGCCAAATAGTTGCCCTGAGACAGACACTGCTCCAGGCCATCGTAGGACCTTTGCATGTAGCTTATGCGATCCTCGGGTATCTGCGTGACACCAAAATAGATCACAGGCTCCACAATGAAGCGCACCCGGGGAAACAGATGGCCGCAGTCGTAGTAGAGGCGTGCATCTATCAGACGACGCTGTGCTGCATCCTTCGGATACAGTGCCACGTCCGGCCCGGTATATTTATCCGCCAGATAGCTGCAGATAACGTGCGAGTCGCTCACCACGGTGCCATTGTCATCCAGCACGGGAATCGTGTGCTGTGGGTTGAGCAGCAGAAACTCCGGTGTCATATGCTCACCTGCCTTCACATTGACCGTGCTATAAAAGAGAAAGAGAGAGAGGGTGGGGGGTGAAATGCATATGCAACTGGTTTGTTGGCTTTTAAGCCAGTAGAGAGTATTTTTAGCTGCCTTAACTGAGATGTGTATATCAATAGATATGTTGTGTGACATATTTGAAAATGTTGCCAATTTTCATAATCAATTAACATACACTTAACACATCACCATTTACATAAGCTTCACTTAACAGTGATTTAACATTCAGCTCAAGAGTCTTTTATTATACATATATGGTATATTGTGCATTTAATTGAAGAATATAATAGTAAAGGCTCTGAACGTGTGCAATATGCAAACAAATGTACAAGAATTTGACAAACGAACTTTCAATTACCATTTACTATGTTAAGTAGTTAACATTTCGTTAACAGTCACTGTTAACGACTAGCTTAGTCGCATTCCGCTCGAAAAAATCAAAACGATAAGCTCGTGGGGCATGTGTAAATCGATAAGCTTTTTGCTATTTTGTTTTGTTTTGTTTTTTTTTTTTGTTTTGTTTTGTTATTAAACTCACCGCAGATCCAGTTCGAGTCCCAAAGCAGCGGCTGTGAGCAGCACCGCGCGGCAGGGCGGGCTGCGTGGCGCATAATAAAGAACTGGTTTCTTGGTTGTTCTATGGGAGAGAGTTGTAGTCACAGATAAACTAGATAAATAATAGTTAATGTTGATTGCCGCTTTGCATGCGCGAGCAACAAACAAAAAGTAATAAACAAAATTGAACTTACGCAGCGCTGCTCATTTTTTATTAATTGTCAGCCGAACAAGAATAACACAAACTGTTCAACGTGAAGTGCGAAAAGCAACTAAAATGAGAAAGCTGCGATCACATTGACAGATAAAGTGAGAGCGAGAGAGAGACAGAGAGAGTGGGAGTGGGAGCTAGAGAGCGGGAGCTTAAAGCTCAGCGCAATTTGAATTTAATTTCGTGGCCAGCACAAAAGTATGCTTTAAATAATTGATGAATGGGCGTTGACAGAGTTGCAGAAAAAATACAAAAAATGAAGGAAAATTTCGAGTCAATTTTAGGGCGCTGCGGACAAAACTTTTCGGTTAGAGCGCACAAATTAAAAACTTTTCAAAAGAATAACAAGTGGAAACGCGCGAGTCAAGTGTTAACGACTGCGCCATACGCTGTTCACTGTTTTTATAAGCTTAAAGAGGCAGAAAATAGTCTGCAGAGTCTGATGACTCTTCAAAAATAAAACTGGGATAATTAAGGATAAATGAATATTTTCTGCGTTCTATTATATTGAGACTTCCAGTCGGAGTCTCCTGCCTAACCTATATACCCGCTTTCACTTTAGAGTGCACAGCATTCTTGAAGTTCGGGTCCAAATAAATGCTGTGCTGTGCGGGCGCAGATTTTTGCATTTAAATGGGTTATACACTTGATGAATTAATTTACTTATGTGTTAATTAAATTACTGGCAATTCAATTAAGGAACTCCTGCTGTTGCCGCGGCATATTCAATTGTTAAATGATTTGCACGTTTTTTCTTTACGACAACAACAACAATAACAGTTAAGCGGATTTTGTCCCAAAGCAGCCCTTGGGCCAGGTGCAAAAATTAAATTCCTTTAAGCCGATTTCCGTATTAGTTAATGGCTCAGCCGAAAAATGCGCACGCGACGCGATTTGCGTTCAAGTGAACTTTAATTGGATTTTTAGCCGAATGATCGATATATATATATATATATATCAGATGCGATACGGCTCCAATTGGAATTTGTGCCTGAAGTGCTGCTTGGAGTGTGCTCAAATATTTGGTCACGCGCCGCAGCGAAATGGAAATGCCAAAGCCCCAAAAGTCGAGACAGGTCGACAAGTGGCGCCTTGGCATGCAGGTGAGCTCCTTGCCTGGTGACAGGCAGGGTGTGGGAGTTGGAGAGAGGGAGTGGGTGGTGGTGGGGGCTGTCAAGTAGAGATGTGCGCGGGGCTTGGCATTTCTTATGCTTTATAAAGCCTGGAGCGAACTGGCCCGGCACGAAAACCAATAAATATGCTAGATAAATATATTATACTTTTGAATTTGTGAGGAAAAGCTTCTTGTTTGCTTTTGAGGAAGACATTTTGTATATTTCCCTAATAGACGTTTCTTTCGATTATTGTTATCGATAGTTCGTGATAGGGATGAGATTAACTACGATAAATAGTTATGATCAATTGGTGCTTATCGTTTTTCATCGTGCCTTTATTTTTCGTGCTTTTGAGCTGACACGAAAATGAATTTGGAGGCACGAGCTCGCCAAGCTTGGCCCGCGTCCATCTCTATTGACAAGGACCCAGGGCTGTCAAAATGTTGTGAAAGCAATTTACAGTTATTAAAGCTTTTAGTGCGATCAAAAGTGAGACGCCTTTGCTTGTCCTGGGCATTAAATTTAATATCGTAATTGAGTAATTTCTCCAGGCAGGTGGCGGGTCTTAAAGTGGGTTTCTCTAAGGGAGCGGGTAATGGGGCTGTGTTGGGCCTATTGAAAAGCATTGACTAATTGATTGCCATTTGACGAGCGGCATTTATCTTCATAACTTAGTTTTGTGCGCGTTTAATTGAAATCACAGACAGACGAAAAGCGTGTGAGATTAATTGCCGTAGAAGGCGGCCATTAGGGATTCGGACTTGGACATGGACATGGACATGGACATGGAGATGGAGATGGACATGGATACGCACTTGAGTGCTGCCGCTGGCATTGTCCGCGCTTCAAGTGGGAAAATCCAGTTTTATTAATGGTTTCGCCAGGACAACAATAAAGCGAAAGGCGTGCGTGGGTCGCGTCAATTGCTCTGCATTTCCGTCTGACCCAAAACATAAATATTACTTAATTCTGCCAACTCTCTTTACCCCTCTTTCTGGCTATGTGGCGATTAATAACAATTAAATGTCAGTCGGTTTTGTTGGCTAATTGCTGGCATTGAACGCTGCGGCTTTAAAGCTGCCAGCCAGTCCAATGCCAAGGACTCGCTGGGCCACATATAATGAAAATGTGCCAGGAGACAAGTGTATGCATGAGAGGACATCAGATAAGGCACAATAAAGATGTCGCCGTAAAATGCGCCCCCTACCCGACTCCCAGGCAGGCGGCTTTTGTTTTTATTGGAAATGAACTGGCGACATGGGGGCCCGGGCAACTGCCTGGGGTGGCACCCGGCATATAAGTATATATACATGTATATAAATCGTTGGCTAAATTAAAAGTGACATGCTATTACTTGGATATAGATATGAAACAAGTGGCAGTGCTCGAGTCGGCAGTGCACGACCAGCAGATGCCCTGTAACCGAGTTGTAGCTTATTCTAGATCTGTGTATGCCATAACAGAACCTGCATATCAAGTTGGCTGTCTCTAGCTTTTAAAATCTGCGAGATATGCTCCAAAAATCTGATTTTCAAATTGATTTTATCGATATCTGGGAAACGGGCTTAGATATTGTTGTTGTGCAATAAACTTGACATGCGCGAGCACTAGAAGATTATACATTCCAAATTTAAAGTCTCCAGCTCTCATAGTCCTCGAGATAAGTCAGAGAGATAGACAGACAGGCGGAGGGATGGGCATGGCTAGATTTAATTGTGTTTGATGCCTGTTACATGCCCATATGACCCATTGAGAAGTGGGTCTAGGGTAGAAAAAGCAGCCATTTAGCCAAGTGGCCGAGTCAAATGAAGGGCAGGCCCAAAAGCTGACGGCCAATCAATGCCAACTTCGGCATGCAAATAAAACGGACCCCAACAACAACAACAACAACAACAACAACAACAACAACAACAACAACAACAACAACAACAACAACAACAACAACAACAACAACAACAACAGCAAGAACAGCCAGAACTTAAAGCATTCTTAAAACGCTCACTCAACTAAATACACTCAGAGAAATCGAGCAGGATGAGTTGCCGCAAATTCAGTTGAATGAATTCTCTATTCACAATTTTCAAGAATGATTTCATTTCATTTATTCAAATGCTTGAATTCAAACTTGAATACAATTTTTGCTTTAAAAATGAGCAGACATAGGGAGGGAGAGAGAGAGAGGAATAGAGAGAGTGGGAGAGAGTTAAAGTCAAGAAAAATGAAAAGGAAAATGCAATTCGAGCGTTTGTTCATTTGTAATTTGAGTTTTTCATGGGGATTTGCCTGTGCTTAAACAAATTTATTAGCATGAAAATAGATTTTATATACTAACATAAAAGAGGATGTTGACTTCATGAAATAAGGGGATTATTGGAGGTCATTAGTGGAGCACTCTGATTATAGAGATTTTAGCATGAGTTCCATACATAAAAAGCTGTGAAGGAAAACAAAACATTAAAATGAATCTAGGAATGCCGTTAGAATATGTTTAAAGAAGCAGGAATTGCGCTTCATTTAACAGATTGAACATCTTTTTGACAACTTTTATTGAAAGTAGAAAGACGCATCGGCCTAAGGCTCGGCACAACTGAGCACGAAGCTTGGGGATCAAAGTCTTTGAGAATATGAAATGTTTTAAGGCAAAAAGAAACAATTATCTTTCGAGTGAGGCTTCAAACTCATTTGAGAAAATGTATTTGATATTTGCCAAATCCCCAGTTCTTGTATGGAAAATGCGGCTCAAAGGTTTAATGATTAAAATCTTATGTTTCGGCTTTAAGATTTTCCCCACATGACTGACATGAGCAGAAACAGTTGTTTCCATCTTTTCTAATATATATTATATATTTCGTGAGGTTCAAGGTCTTTTTAAAGCTTTTCACGTGCGGAAACTGGGCGAAAAAGTAATATCGAAAGTCTGAAGCACAAATTATGCCACAGGCAAGGTCGGGGAATATTCGCTAGTATCATATAAAGCCAAAAGAGTAGCTCATATAAAGAAATTTTCTTTCTTCTGTTGAGCAACAGTTCCTATGGCAGCTATATGATAAAGTGGTTCGATTCTGTCAGATCTGATATACATATGTAAGCCCAGCGACAAGTTCTATGAAGATAGCTTTAAAAGCAGCAGAAAATCTATGAGCATGGAAACAGACAGACACAAAATCATATTTGTTTCTCATTAGTTAAAGGTTAAAGGTTATTTGCTTCGAAGAAAATGATTGTAATTCGATAGTCTTTCTATTTTTGTGCTTGTCAATGCCAAAAAATGGCATTCCCGTTCGATATCTAGTTTTTGATTTTTCAGTGCATTCCTGTGCCAAAGGTCGCCCTGTCGCTGTCCATCAATGTCCAGCGGCGCCTCCAAGCTGACCTCCTGACCGTCTCCGGGCTGCACGACTTCAGGGTAACCCAAAAAGAAAGTGGGCCGCATATTTGGCAGAGTCAAGTATGCCGCCAGCTGGCCTCGGCCTTTAATTTACTTGGCTTGGTTTTTCCGATATCATGTTATCGCTGCGTGCGGAAAATCGTGCGAGCAGTTTTCCGCTTTGATGTCATTTTATTGAACTTTATTGGAGCATAAAAAAGAAATGCGAAATGTTGCTGCTGCTGCTCATAAGACTCTGTCAGATGGCGCGGCTCAGATTGCAGGTGATGCGCATGCATGAACCAGGTAGGGGCGTGGGCGTGGGCGGGGGCGGGTGGTGGTCGGGCTGGAGGGAGGCTTAGCATATGCTGTTAACAAACGTTTTTATAGCCGTAAAAAGCGCTCGCATGAATATGGATTTTTCATTTCTTTCTTTTTTTTTGTGTGTTTTGTGGCAACTTTTCGCGTTTGCTTTCTCATAAAGCTGAAGCTCTGTTGGATGCGTTGGACATTTTATTGGTATTGTTTTTGAAGGCCGCTGTCGGCACTCGACCTGGCTGTTGTTGATGGATTAGCGAGCGTTAGCCAAACAGCCGACGTTACTCCCGGGTGCTCTCGCCCACTCCATGCGGAGCACGTTCGTCCCCGTTCAATGCATCATCAAATGGTCGCAAAAGCTTGACAGGCACACACGGCACAGCTCGACAGCTGACAGGGCCGGGTCCCTGAAGGCATTAGATTACATTGTTTTGTATACGTTAACAGAGTTTGGCCATTAGGCAGTCCGAAAATACCAATTGGGAAATCCCTTCGCCAGCTCAACAAGTTCTAATTTGCTGCAGAGCCGGATAAAAAAACACCTCTTTTCAATCTGTTGATGGGATTATCAGGTTTTCGCATAAAGCTGAGTGAAACACAAGCTGAAAGAAATGCTGTTGCATACATTAAGCTACATTTTGCTAGCCAAGCTTATCGAAGAGTATTTTATTTTGGAAATATAATAATAATGAAAGAGCTTCCGGAAGGATGTGGCACAGCTGGTGTTAGGTTTTTAAAAGGATTTTCGGTTTGTGGGATATTGAGAGAATCTCAATTAACAATGCAAATTGGAATATAAATATAATATTATAACTCGAATTCAAATGCTGATCAAATTTTGCGAACTCCAAGTGAATTAAAGTTCGGTTAAAGTTCATATTATACAAAGGAATGAACGGATGCTTAATTAAATACAGCTTCAGGGAAGCACATGTCAAATAAACCTGTCCAATTTCAGCCACAATTTCATGTACTGCAGTCGGATTTGTTGAGTGTTCTAACCAAGCCACATCGGATTTGAAAGCAGATACACAGATGCACAGACACACAGAGTGCAGATACAGATACAGATACAGATACTTAACCTCAAGTTTAATGGCAGCTGCCGTCGTTTTTCAAGTGCTGTGTTGCAGGCAGCCTGCACTCATGCAACAAAATGTTGTGGCTTCTGTGCTGTCTAACTGTAATTTTCGGGGCAGTGGCAGTCAACGAGTCGACTGCTGCTGCTGCTGCTGCTGGTGCAGAAATGTTCTGGCCAAGCGGATTAAGTATCAGCTTTCAGCGCTGCTCACATTTGGCAACTGACTGCTTGGCCCGGCTGTGGCAGTGGCATGTTGAGGCGCCTTTTGTGGCAAATAAGTTGATTGAATGCGAAATTTTGAAGCGTAACATAAATCGCAGCTGAGCAGCAACAATGCGTACAAATTTAATTTCTATAAGGACGGCTGAAAAACAACTGAAAAGCTGCTGATTTTGTTAGAGGTATATTCATGCACATACAAACGTATTTGGATTGTTTTCTTGTTGGGTTTTATAAAGCCATTTATGCGTTGAAATTGTATAGATTTATGAGCATCTATATTCCTTCTTTTTTTTTTTTATATATATTTATCTTGGGTTTTGTGGCCCATTAAACATTGACCCTTTTTTTGGTCATAAAACGAGAAAAGTTGTTGAACGTAAATTACGCATACGCAGCGTATGCAGCGCCTGCAAAATTCACAAATGCTAATTGGCAGCAGGGCTGCCAACTGGACTGGATTTTGAACACACACACACACACACACGCGAGCACTTGGTAAATCAATTAATTTATGCAGCACACACTCTCAGACACACACACACACACACACACACATGGGCGTGCAAAGAGCAGTCCGCTGGGCACACGCAACAGGAGATTCAATTACAGGCGATGCCGAGCATAGGAACAAAGAAACGAAACGCAGCATGGCGCTCAGCAGCTTATTAACTATTGAAATTGATTGGGCGCTGGGGCAACCTATTGATGGCAGCCACTGTAGCTAGGAGTTAGGAGTGAGAGGGAGAGCGCTATACGATATGCTAATGCCCAAGCAACAACCCATTCTTAAAGCTCTTGTTGTTTTTGCTACCTAATCGTGCTTAATTTGCTGCCGACGAACAAAGACACCTGCGTGCCAGCCTGCAGTGGACAAGGGGGAGGGGGTATGGAGTAGAGCTTGCCAAAAGTTCGTTGGCATTTAGCGGCTTACGGGTGCGACTTGGTGCGGGTGCGGGAGAACGGCGTAACTTTCGCCGTTAAACTGAAGGTTTTTATGCTAATGTTAATGAATACCTTGTGCACAGTTCGAAAGGTACATAAATTATATAAAACAATTCTAATTACGTTTTAAAGCCGCACTTTAATGGCGTATTCTGTGCAGCTGTCACGTGTGCCAGTTACAGTTCATAAATCTTGTTACCTAATTTGCGACAACGGCACAAAAGAGCATTAAATCCTTGTTTGCGAGACTTACATATGTGAGCGTGTCTCTCAGTGTGCGTGTGTGTGTGTGTGCGTGTGTGATGGGGCTAAACAAATGTTTGCTGTCTAAAAGGGTTGTTTTATCTCCTGAAAATGTCACAAAGCTAAATGTGTGCCCCCCCCCCAAAAAAAAAAGCAGACTTCAGCTGACTTCAGTATATGCTTTATTCTTACGCTCAATGCAGGCCGTAAATGTTTAATAAGTTTTTGTTGCAGCTGCCGCTGCTCTTTTTCATAAATAACTTAATTAATAATGTCTAATTGAATGCACGTCGAATTATTTAAGCGACTGCATGTTGGACATTTTAAATGCGCGCCAAATGTGAACGCAACGAAATGGAAACTGAAACGAATCGAGAGCTGAGCGCAATCGAGAGCGGGCAACCGAATGAAAGCTCGCTCGCTCTGGCGCTTATCCTGGCCGCAGTGCGCTCATTGGCGCTTTTGCTTCGGCGCCGCGCGACGATGCTGGCTGCCCGGGATTGACACACATTGCCAGGCAAACGGCTGCAGCAGCCGCAAACAGTACCAAAAACAACAACAATATGTAAAGCCGCCTGATCCCTGGCTCACAATGTTTATCTTATCAGCGCGCAGATGGCCGAATGTTAACGCTTACATAGCCCCATAGCGAACCACCCACCCACCCACACAGCGCCCACAACTCAGCAGCACAATTGCGCGCTTGAAAAATGTTTCGTTTTTTGTTTGTTTGGCTTTTTCTGTTTTTGACAGTTCATAAAACAAACAAACAGTCAGGTACTACAAAAACAAACTGTTTTTGTTTACACACTCTAAAAAGTTTGTTTTAGCGGCTCGCGCAACAGTTTTAATAGTCCCAGCAACATTTGCTGGCCTCGCAACATAGTCCAAGCCGAGCTACAAGTGTCCCTAGCGCAACATAGAGCACGCACTCACACTCCGCCCCCTACCCCGCGCTCTAAAGGCGCACGTGGACACACACACACAGAACCGCTTTGCTCACTCCCACGCTCACACTCTCTGCGTTTGGCGGTCTGTTCCATTGCCAAAGCGTTGCGCTCGCCGAAGCTTTTGTGCCCATTCGTAGTGCTGGCATTTCGTTTCGCCATTTCAGTTCCTCGTTGTAGTTCAAAGCGTACGGTTCGTCTAAGCGGCTGCAAGAACTGCTTGAAAACATTTGAAAAGGGGAACAAGTTCAACTCAGCTGAATGCGAAACGTGCGCGAAGTGAGCAGCAGCAGGCAGTCCCATTGGCCAACTGAGTGAAGTGTAAATAACTGTAGTTACCCCGCACCCTACACGAGCCCCTTGCTAACTCCCAACACACACACAGACACACAGACATACGCGTGCGTTTCATCTTCATCTGTTTATGTTTGGTTTTGTGTTGTGTTCTCGGTTCGATAGCGTTGTCAACCCCGCCCACTGCACCGCACCGCCCCACTTACCCCTACCCAGCCAGGTGTTATCCATTAGCCACTGTAATAATATGCTTAAATTATGTGTGCGTGCTGCTGCCTTCTTACTCATTATTAATATTATTTTCCGTTTCACTCTTAATGCCTTTTGAGAATTGCAGTTATTTATTTTTTAACGGCATCCGCTGAATTCGTTTGCATTTATCATTGCCTCCGCCCTTCGCATTCGCATCCGCAACGGTAATCGTGCCATGTTGATGGAGATTGATATTGAAATGTCAACAATGCTTGCCAATATCCAATTTTATATATGTATATATGTATGCATGTATGCATGCAGATGTGCGTCTGTGTGCGTGTGTCAAGTGTTATCGGCACAAAAACCAATTAGCTGTTAGCATTGCAAGCACTCAACAGTCGAACCGACCGCACGCCCTCCCCCACGAATCAGTGGCAATTGGTCAAACAAAAGTTTGGCGCGTGGAGCCCTTAAATAACAAAAGCGCTGCACACTGTGCACAGTGCACTGTTTTAATTGAAAAACTTCGCCAATTGAACTTTAATAAACAACAAAAGAGACCGAGACGGGCAAATACGTAAATCGTGCAGGCAACAGTCGAAGGACAAACTTCTGCAGGTTTCGCTCTAATTTTCAATTAAAAGTACACCTCCCTCCGCCCCCCCTTCCCCAGCACCCCCATACACACACATCAAAACCCAGGCAAAAAAAAGCCAAAATGGCTGCCAGATGCATTGACCACAACAACAACAACATCAACAACAAGTCCTGAAGTTTTGATCCTTTAGCTTGTCCAGCTTGAGGCTGGCTTGTTCCATTGTTCTGGCAGCTTCCTGTCCGCTGCTGCGGCTTTCCCTCGTCTGCTTTGGACAGTGAAAAGCTGCCTTCGAATTTTCAGGCTGCGAGCAATTAAAATATGCATAAAATGTAAATGAGAGAAGACCACTTGGCAAACCCTCAGCCCGCCTCTCCTCCTATAAAAGCGCCCGTCTTAAGTTTTCCTTTTCCACACAAATCTTGTTTAGCGCAAACGAAACAATTTTGTGCCAACTCGTGTAATTGAAGTGCAGCAGCAGCAACAATAGCAACAATAACAAAAAACAATAACAAAAGGACAAGTGAATGAATAAAATTTAATTATGAGATAATCGTGAAAACAAAACAAATTAAATAACACAAAACGCACAGGAAACACATTTACAGTAAGTCCAAATGAGAAAATGCAACAGTGTGTGTGCGAGGGAAGGTGTGAATTGGGGGAGGGAGGGCGGGTGGGTTTGCAGGACACGCTGATAATGAATGATGAAATAAGTTTGCAGCGCCATTAATAAACGTGCCACAATGATACTCTACATATGAACAATGCCACAGCGGGTGTCCTGGCGTGTGCGTGTCCTTGTGCCTGTGTGTGTGTGCCTGTGTCTGTGTGTGTGTGCCTGAGTGCGTGGGCGTGGCACATGCGGCGACGCTTCTAATTAGAGCTCTGGCAAGCAGTTGATGAGGGTAAATTGGCAAATAATTAATCGCCGGTTAATTAAGGACTTACATGAGCCAACGCCGTAGCCAGCTCAACCTGCTCCTTCTCCTCCTCTTCCTCCTCCTCCTCCCGACCTGCTGCTGCTTTCAGGCTGTCGTCAATTTTGGTTAGTTGCTAATTAAAAAGCATTTAAAAGGAATAGTGCAGAAAGAATTTTTTAAATTTAATTAAAGGCATGGCCTTAGAAGTGTGTATAACATATATGCACATAAATGCAATATTTAAGTTTGCATGAATATTGTGCGTATAATCAATCCTTACGTCCAGTTTTTAGTTAAACAATTGTTGTGTTAGAAAATGTTTTTCTTGTCCAGAAACACATGTTCTTTTATATGGATCGAAAACAGGAAAATTCTAGAACTATTTCATTCTGGTTGAAAAGTAAATAATCTAAGAAATATACTCCAAACACGTTACTTGAAATTTAATTCAGATACAAATTAAAACTAAAAATTGGTGAAATATTAAAAGAAAATTTATATTACATGGCGTTAAGCTGGAAACTTCCAGAAAAAGTTTCATTCTGATCAAAAACTTAATATGAATCTTTCCGTATACAATTCTAGATTATTATTAATCATTTTATATTATACGACAATAAAGCTAAAAACTTTCTGGATAGTTTCCATTCAGATCCAAAATTGAATATTAATCTCTGATAACATCTTCAAGGAAGTTTAGATACAGAACAAAACAGCAACAACTATAAAGTATTAAAAATGATTTATCTAATAATAATAAATAATTTTTTTTTGTACAAAGTATTTCTAACATATTCATAAATGTCAATAAAATGATATGCTACACGAGCTGTCATGCCATTGCATCTATCTATAGGGTATATCTGCGAATTAGTGAAATATTTGCAATTTATTTCGTTGGCCGACTCGGCGTATGCGTAATTTGTATATGCGCGGCTGCTGCTGCTGCCGTTGCTGCTGTTGTTGCTGTCTCTGAACTTTGTAAACATTGAATACTTGTTTATATTTGCATGCGCAATTTTCAATGCTTCAGACACACTCGGACTGGCACTCGCACACCCTCATCTTTAAAGCGTCTTCTTTTTATATTATTGTTGTTGCTTTTGTTGTCCGTCTGCACAGTTTAAGGTCGCATAGTCATTCATTTTTTGAGCAGTTCCTGTCGCTCGTTGTTTAACACACACTCGAATTTGATATTCATTGAAACTATAAATCTTTTATGAGCAGTCGCTGCAGCTTAGCTGAGTCACATGCCATCCGCCAGCCGCCTCGGCGAACGTTGTTTTCCACAAAATTTAGCCAATCAGCTGCGGCCGCTATTCGCCTAAATACTTAAAACTGAATATGTTGGCCTTCGGGGAGGAGGGGGGGTTTATTTTTTCCCTTATTTTTTTCTTCAAGTCAATTTGAATGTTTGTTCGAGTAGTTCGCAGAGCGGTAATAATTTTATTGCATCCGCATTTTGCTCAATGTTTTGCAATGCTCAGAGTGTAAACAGTTCGAGGGAAATGAATGTTCAGAAAATACTCGCATTTGAAGTGGAAAACGCTTTGCTCAAAAAAGTTTAGATAATGCTTTCCACAAACAAAAACTATAAATAAATATTGATTTATAGCGTGAACACAAACTAAAATAATGAGTTCCCCTTAAAGTTCTCTATTTACCATATTTATATAGATATTATTCATAGATATATTTTTCAAGAACAATTCGTGATAATAAATTAAGTTTTGCTCGAATTCAGATGATAAACGCATGAGTGACATTTATTTCATATTCATTTCTTTGTGCTTCGAAAATGTTATCTAGTTAATATATATATATATATATTTTTTTTATAGATTATCTGTAATATGTACTCGTTGAGTAGTTCTGTCCAAAGCAAATAAACACATGCTCTCTAATAAGGGCCTAATGAACTCGACAAACATATCAATCACGAGTCGAACTTCAGCTTAGCGTTAAGATAGTTTTTTAAGAGTGCTATAAATAATATATAAACCAGATTGTAGAGTTTACTAGGCGCATAGCTTTCTCTTGAAAGAGGTTTGTCAAATAAAAACTTGTTCAAGTTTAACTCCTGTGACAGCTGCATGATGAAGTAGGCCAAACTGGACAGACGGACAGACAGACGGACGGTGGGATAGACGGGCATGGCTAGATCGTGTCGCCTGTTGATGCTGATTCAGAATATGTATACATTATGGGGTCGGAGATGCTTCCTGCTGCCCGTTTCATACATTTGCACAAATACATTATACTCTTTTTAATCATTTTCAATGGGTGCAGGGTAAATAAGTCAAAGAGTGCCATTTCTCTTTCTAGTATTCAACGTAGTATTTCAGCGGCAAAAGGTTGTAGTTCCTTAGATCTTAGGAAATGCTCAAGAAACTTGTAGAACAAAGCTGAATTGAGGTACTTTTAAATCAAGTAGAAATACCACAGAAGTCATTTTTTAAACAATAAATATAAATATTTAATACTTTTTAACACTTCCATTTATAAATATATTTTTTTTTAAATTTTATTTATATATTTTTTTTATATACATTTAATTCAATTTTAAATATTAATGAATATTTAGATTATATACCAAGCTCCTGCTACATATAGCTTAGAGAATTGCACATATTAATAATTAAATTTGGTTTTAATTACCAAATTTTCTTTGTTCTTTACACAAAGGTCTCTCGAATAGCTCGAGCACATTCATTTTTGTACTCTTCAAGCATTTAAATTCGCAGCACTCTCTGCTTCATTCTCACTCTCTTTTTCGCTGTCTCACATTCTCACACAGTTTCTCTGAGTAATCAAATTGTTTTCGGGTGCACCAATTAAGTAAAGTGGGGCCTCTATAGGTCTTCTTTTTGCTTCTTCTTCTTTTTTTTTTTTTGTATACGCAATGTTTGTGGTTCTGTCTGCGGCTCACATGGCGTATGAGTAATGCGCTCTAAAGCATTTATCTGCGCACACACACTAACACACACAAGCACACACGTACTTTAAATGCAAAGTGAGCGCATAAAGTTAAAAAATAAAGGTAGACAAGCACACGCACAGGCTGGCGAGTGTCCTTCAACGTGTGCCAGTCTGTGTGTGTGTGTGTGAGTGTGTGTTGCGGGTTAGCTGGGATAAGCAGAGTGCTGCAAAGTGCTATAAATCAACACTCGAACCACTTAATAAAAGGCAACGCCATTAGACAACAGCAACAGCAGCCGCAGCAGCGGCAACAGCGGCAGCAGCGTTGACGTTGCACGTAACCCGCTGCCACAACTCATAACAATGTCATACACACACACACACACTCGCACACTCGCACGCTTCAGCCACGGCAAGAGTGCAAAATTTTTCGCGTTTTTTCGTAATGAATTATGGCAGACACAACAAAAGCTGGAAAACACACAAAAACAGAATCCCAAAACAGTAAAACATAAATCTATGAAGGGAGGGGGCTCAGCAAAGTGGTGGAGGCGGGGGCTTGCTTGGGGCTGCAGTGCCAAAAGTTGATGGAATAAAAATTATTAACAAATGCTGACAGCTTGTGTAAACAAGCGCCATCGAAATGGCCGCCGAAAATTGCTGAACGCCAAATTGTGAGCGCTTTGAGTGCCATGGGCGGCGAGTGTGGTTTTCAGGGGGGCGTGGCGCTAAAAATGTTTTCGTCACGCGCTTTAATTGCCACGCCTGTGTGAACAGCGAACGCAACGGAGGCGTTCGCAGCAGCAGCAGCATCCATCTGCGGGGCGTGGCAGCTGCTAACAGCCTACGCCCCCCGCCTCCGCGTTAGCCAAAAAGCGAGCGCAGAGATTTTTGCATCTGTTTAACGTAAAGCAATTGCAAATTAGCCAAAATTGTAGCCAGCGTTCGCTTAATGGCCACATTTTCTGTTCTGTGTGTGTGTGTGTGCGTGTGTGTGTGCGTGTGTTGTGGCTGCTCTTATCGGCAGCCGCGTAATAAAAGCTCTTTAGTGCGGCCTTTTGTATGAATTTAAATATTTGCACAACGTTTCATTATTTTCATTTGCCAAGACGATGACGTTGTAAGAGCCCGCTTCCAGCCCTGCCCTAAGAAGCCACGTAATGTATCGCATTGAGAATACACAACAGCACACACACACACACACACACACGCATACACACATATGCACACATACACACATTTCAATGCCTCTTGTTTTATGCACATGTCTTGAAATTAGTTTACTTCGTTTGTGCGGCACAATTTTAATTAAATATCAACTGCGCCAAGCGAAGACAGCTGCAAACAGCGACGACAGCAGCAGCAGCAAGAACAACAACAACAACAACAGCAACAATAATAATAACAACAACAATAACAAAAACTACAACAACCACACACACACACACACACCCATTATAAAGCACACGCAAAGTTTTAACTAGGTCACAAAGTAATTTCTATGCGCTTGCTGCAACTTTTTCCACACTTTATTAGCTGTTAAAGCATTAAATCAAAACAGTTTGCCAGAAGTTTTCGTATTTAAGAAATTATAAACTAATCGCTATATATGATTATTATTACTGTGTTGCATAGCACAAAAGAGCTTTTGATTTGTTGGCCGAAACTTCGCCCTAAGCCCATTTTTTATTTCTATACCTACTTAGAGTTTGTTGAGGCTATAAAATTTGATACTTCTTCTTTTAAATTCCAACAAATCAACAAA